CAATCCCTGTACTGGCCAGTCACCAAAAAAATAATAAGTAAGTAAATAAATAAATGCAAATTCAAAAGAGAGAATAGAGTTGGAGGACTTACGTGACTGATTTCAAGTCTTACTATAAAGTTACAATAATGAAAACGGTGTGGTATTGGCAAGATCATTGGAACAGAATAAAGAATCCAGAAATAATCCCTTATGTATGGCCAATTGATTTTTATCTTCCTTTTTTTTTTGTCTTTTTTTATGGTCAATTGATTTTTGACAACAGTACCGAGGCAATGAAATAGAGAAGAGGACCCTTACCTCACACCATGTTTAGAATGGACCACAGTAAAAGCTGGAAATATTTACAACAATAGCAAAAGAACTACATATCAAATTTATGGAATTCCACTTAAAAACAGAAAGAGCCTCTTTCCACCATCTTTGTGTGCCACCATAATGGTATGCACGAATGTCCTCGCTGATGCTCTCAGGAGCATCCACAGTGCTGAAGAGAGAGGCTCTTATTAGGCCGTGCTCCAAAGTCATCATCCAATTTCTAACTGTGCTGGTGAAGCACGATTACATTGGTGAATTTGAAATCACTGATGATCACAGAGCTGAGAAAACTGTTGTGAACCTCACAGGCAGGTTAAACAAGTTTGATCAACCCCAGATTTGATGTATAACTCAAAGATCTAGAAAAATGGCAGAATAATCTGCTCCCATCCCCTCAGTTTGGTTTCATTGTACTGACAACCTCAGCTGGCATCACGGACCATGAAGAAGCAAGATAAAAGCGCACAGGAGGGATGATCCTGGGATCCTTTTTCTAGGAATGTAATACATATATACAAATAAAATGCCTCAATGGAAAAAAAAAAAAAGAAAGAAATTTATAGTCTTAAATACTTATGTTAGAAAAAAAGGAAGTAAAAATGCTAAATAATCAGCTCAAAAAGCTAGGACAATAACAAAATAAGCCCAAAGAAAAAGAAGGAAATAAAAAATGTAAGTCAGACATAATACATACAATAGACATGATCGACAAGGCCAAAAGCTGTTTTTTGAAAAGATTAAAAAGACTAACAAACCCTTGAAAAGATTGAGCAAGGAAAAAGAGGAAGGGAAAAATAAACAGATAAAATGTTGTTTACATATGAAACTTTAAAGAATCTACATATGACAAATAATTGAATTCATTAAAACATTCAGTAAGGCTGCTGAATATCAATATGATAAAATGAATTTTATTTATAGATGTCAACAAAAAGCAATAATAAAAATTTAGTTTTTAAAAATATAACTTGTAAAAAAAACAAATATGATAAGCTTATGTACAAATTTAAAGACTAGCATTTAGAGAAAATTATAAAACTTAACAAAAGGTAGTAATAAAGATGTATTTATAATTAAATTAAGGCAGACACCATATTAATAAATAGAAAATACTGTGAAAGATATAAATTATATCCAAGTTAATTAATATATTAATATGTAATGAATATAAATAACATAAATATTAGNTTTATGAAATCTGACAAACTGATAGTAAAATGTTAATGGAACATCAAAGGACTAAAACTAACAAAGATCATTATATTTGTTAAAATTATCTTACATAAGTCAACCTCAAGTGATTTAATAAATAAATGTGTTTTGAACATTTAAAAAATTAAAAATAAAAATAACAAAGACACTGTGAAAAATGAGATGGGAGGATTTAACCTAGCAGACATCAAGACTTATTATAAAGCTATAATAAATTAAAACAGTGTGATATGGATGCAGGGATAAGCAAATACAACAGAACAGAGAACATGGAAATTAATCCATACATATAATGAAACTGAAACTGAAAATACAAGAGAGGTGGCATTGTAAATTGAAGCAAATTATGAATTATTCAATGAATGGTATGAAGTCTGATGGCTATACATTTAGAAATATATAAAAAGAGATCCCTATCTCTCAACATTCACAAAATCAATTCCAGAGGGAATAAAGACTTAAGTGTAAAAAGCAAATATATTTTATTCTATAGAAGAAAATCTAAATAATGTCTTTCTAATCTTGATAGAGGGAAAGATTTCTTAAATTAGACACTTATATACACACACACACAAAATCATACCAAACAAGATTGACAAATCCAACNGGTTGCGATCCGTTGCCGGACACGAAAAAAGACAAAAAAAGGAAAAAAATAAATAAATAAATAAAGCAGGGCTTAAAGAAATGTATACTACATATGATTGTATTAGAAAAGAAGGTCTATATCAATGACCTCAGCTTCTACCTCAAGAAGTTAGAATAAGAGCAAATTAAGCCCAAAGAAAGTAGAAGGAGGAAGATAAAAAGATAAAAATGAAAATCACAGAAATGGAAAATACATGAATAATACAGAAAATCAATGAAACCAAAAGTTGGTTCTTTGCAAAATACATAAAATTAATAAACTTCTAGCTAAAATACCAAAAACCAATTTTTTTTAATTAAAAATGTGAGGAATGAAAGAGAAAGCACTGCTAGAGCAATACACAGACATTAAAAGGATAATTTGGAAATAGTATGAACAATATTATGCCAATAAATTCAACAACTTAGATTAAGTGGACAAATTTATTGGCTGGCCAGTGGCTCACTTGGGAGAGCATGGTGCAGAAAACACCAAGGTCAAGGGTTGGGATCCCCATACTGGACAGCCACCAAAAACCAACACAAAACAAAACTGATATAAGAAGAATCAAAGAATATTGAACAGTCATATAGCTACTAAGGAAATAGAATTTGAAATTACAAACCTTATTTCAAAGAAAATCTCACTGGCAAATAATTCTTTCAAACATTTAAGAAAGAAATACCAATTCTTAAACAAATAAAAAAAAGAAATACCAATTCTTTCAAAAAATAAAGGAGGGATACTTCCATTTTATGAGGTAACTATAACTCCACTGCCAACACCAGATTAAGACATTACAAGAAAAAAAACCTACCAATCAAAATCCCTCATGAACACTGATGAAAAATTCTTAACAAAATATTAGCAAATCAAATCCAACAATACAAAGAAGGATTATACAATATGACTAAATAAGGTTTAGTAGAATGTAAGGCTGGTTCAACTTTCAAAAATCACTCAATATAATTCACCATATTAACAGACTAAAAAAGAAAGGCCTTGTGATCTAAAGTAAGGGTCTGAAAATTTTTTCTTAAAGTGCCAGATAACATGAATTGCAGGCTTGTGGGCCATATAATCTCTGTTTCAAGTACTCAACTCTGCTGTTGTAGTATGAAAGCAGCCAGAGACAATATATAAACAAATGGGTGTGGCTGTGTTGCAATAAAATTTATTTACACAAACTCCTATTTACAAAGAAAAAAAATTTACCATCCACAGGTATAATTTTTTTATCTCTGATCTATATAGATTCAGAAAAAAACATCTGACATAATTCAACACCCATTCATTGTAAAACAACTTACCAAAATAAGAACAGAAGGAAAATTCCTCAACCTGATGAAACTAACATTGTACTAGATGATAAAAATGTGAATGCCTGCCACCCAAGATAAGGAATAAGGGGAAAATGTATACTCTCTTATCTTCTATTCAACATTGTACCAATGCTTCTAGCCATTACAAGAAGGCAAAAAAAAAAAAAAAAAAAAAGGAAAGAAAACAAAGGTTTTCAGATTAGAAAGGAAGAAGTAAAACTGTCATAATATAATCATGTGCACAGAAAATTCTAAGAATCTATTAAAAGCTACTATAATTAATAACCAAATTATGCACAGCTGCAG